AAATCTCTAGCTTGCTCCAGAGGCATATGAGAATAAAGCTCAGCTAAATCTTCACTTATTTGTGATCTCAAAACTATCATCCTATCATCTTCCTTAATCTCAAAGTCCCAGCACACTCTCTCAAATGAAATCAGGAATATTCAGGGCAATCTCCTTTCCTATATTGGGGAAATTTCTTTAGATCAATCTTTGAGAAATTTCCCTCACTAGAGTTGTTGTTATTATTATTGTTATTCTGAAAAGCTAATTCTAATTTTTTTTTCCAACTGTATTTGAAATTCCATTTCCTTTTGTCTATTTTCTTGGTAAAATGCCATTTCTCTTTGTCTTAATTTCATTTGTCTGGCCTCTTGCTCAGCTTTGAGCTGTAGTCCCTGAGCTTTCTCTTCAGCCCTGGCTTTGATTTCTAGTTCCTTGAGCTCTAGCTCCTTAGCTTTCTCTTCAGCTCTGGCTTGTTCTCTAGTTTCTAATTCCATGGCTTCTTGTCTGAATCTATACTCCTGTTCTAGTTTCTATTTTTCCAGATCTAGGGAGCTTTGAATAATTTCCCTTGAGGGTTCCTCGGGTTCCTCAGGTATTTGAGGGTCTCAATTTCCATTCCCATTCCCCTCAACCTCTTGAGGATCCATTTCTTCCATTATTGGCTTTTTAGTTCTTTTGGGTGGCATAAGTATGTACTTCCTTGATAAGAGGGACTTTCTATTGCTGAGTTAGTCAGGCCTCTTTTTAAAACATTTTTACTGCTGTTAATTCTAGGAACTATGTTGTTGCACTTCAATCAGCAGCTCTCTCTGGCTGTTCTCCAGCTAACAACCATTTAGTTACTGTGTCTCTCTATGTCTGAGCTACTCCTGCTCTGACACCAAAATAATTTTATTTCTCAAGCCTCTGCTTTTATTTTCCTATCATCTCAGATCTTCACTGACCCTGGCTTCCACTTTTTATCCACCAGTGTTCCCTTATCTCTCAGATCCTTGGATTTCAAGCTAGTCCACAGGGTCTTTCAAATTCTGAGGTAAAAAAAATTCCTTTAGAGTCAGTTCCCTATCTTTAGTTTCCCCCAGATCTGCGTTCAGAACCCCCGCCACTAAGCTTTTCCACAAAAGCTCTAGCAGGTCACCCACTTCTTCACCACAGACCTCTGACTAAAAGGTACCCACAACTCCAGAAAATTCACTTTTAAACATTGGCTTTACTGGATTATTTCATATCCCACCTCTGGACACCGACTGTGACGTTCGCCCTTGTGGCCCCTGCTTGTCTTTCCCTCACAAAGGCTCACATTGGGTTTTCTTCTCACTGCCACCAGGGGATTACCTCAATCCACAATATAAATGGCATTTGTCCGAACACTTGACTTGTGAACAGAAACGGAACTTATTTATTGAAGTTAAGCAGAATGAATAATAACAGAAGTTTCTCAGATGCACATTATACATAAGCAAATCATCAACAGTCCTCTTAGTACATATTTCTTTTCTCTTGCTATATCATTACCACCTTCTCTACCTAATTTCCTAACCAGCTCTATGTCTCTCAGTATCTGTTAACTCTCTCTCTGACTCACCAGCACTATCTGACTCCTCCGCCAAGCCTCATGTAGCTACTGATTCTACGTCTCCAGTCCTCTCATAGGTTCATGCAAATCAGCTCATGAATATGAATGGCATGAGTGATGTGGCCGATCATTTGCAAGCTTATATTGGGTTATATTGTGAGCATCCCAAAAATTATTGTTGTTGTTTAGTTGTTAGGTCGTGTTGGACTCTTCGTGACCCCATGGACCAGAGCATGCCAGGCCCTCCTGTCTTCCACTGCCTCCTGGAGGCAGGCATGTTGGTAGCTTCGATTACATGTTGGTAGCTTCAATGACACTGTCCAAACATCTTGTCCTCTGTCGTCCCCTTCTCCTCTTGCCTTCACATTTTCCCAACATCAGGGTCTTTTCCAGGGAGTCTTCTCTTCTCATGAGATGGCCAAAATTTTGGAGCCTCGGCTTCAGGATCTGTCCTTCCAGTGAGCACTCAGGGTTGATTTCCTTTAGAATATATAGGTTTGTTCTCCTTGCCATCCAGGGGACTCTCAAGAGCCTCCTCCAACACCACAATTCAAAAGCATCAGTTCTTCGGCAGTCAGCTTTCTTTATGGTCCAGCTCTCACTTCCGTACATCACTACAGGAAAAACCATAGTTTTGACTATTCAGACTTTTGTTGGCAAGGTAATGTCTCTGCTTTTTAAGATGCTCTCTAGGGTTGTCATCACTTTCCTCCCAAGAAGCAGGCGTCCATTAATTTTTTGACTGCTGTCACCATCTGCAGTGATCATGGAGCCCAAGAAAGTGAAATCTGTCACTGCCTCCATATATTCCCCTTCTATTTGCCAGGAGGTGATGGGACCAGTGGTCATGACATTTGTTTTTTTGATGTTGAGCTTCAGACCATTTTTGTGCTCTCCTCTTTCACCCTCAGTAAGAGGTTCCTTAACTCTTCCTCACTTTCTGCCATCAGAGTGGTATCTTCTGCATATCTGAGGTTGTTGATATTTCTTCTGGCAATCTTAATTCTGGCTTGGGATTCATCCAGTCCTGCCTTTTGCATGATGTATTCTGCATATAAGTTAAAGAAGCGGGGAGACAATATACAACCTTGTTGAAAAATCATACTAGGGCTTATTTTCAGGTTAGGTCTTATTTTCAGAGAAACAAGGTAATTAAATGGGATATAAGAAATATTTGGGGTTGTATGTTACTAATGTGTTGGAGACAATTAGTTATTGTTCTTATTAAATGCATTGAATTGCCTTCCTGCCTCTGCAAGGAATTATGGCATATTCAGACAGGGTAAGAAGAAGAAACAGAGATTGTTGATTCCCCATATAAACTAGGACAGGTCAGTTTTAACAGCGGACCAAACACATGAGTGAAGGAAGCTAAGCACCCCTCTTTCAGCCTACACCTTCACAATCTTTCCCTAGGCATGTCAGAATACAGGAACCTGTGTTCCTAACTCTAATAGGATCATTTGTCCACTTTCAGTGCAATCCAAACAGAACACTATGCTGGCTGTGGTGTGAGTGGAATGAGCAGAAAAAAGCTTCTCGTAAAGTGCCTTTGTAGTGGCTGATCTCAGACCTGCCAGCAGAACTGCTATGCTAGCAGAAGAGATGAAAAAGGAGCAGAGATGAGGAAAAGCAGAAAAGGAGCTGTCAGGTCCAAACCCCTCCTAGCCAAGACTCATTGCCACTGTTTGGCACAAAGCTGGGCCAGGGGCAGAGTAAAGGTAAAGGTAAAAATTCCTCTTGACATGTAGTCCAGTCGTGTCCAACTCTAGGGGGTGGTGCTCATCCCCGTCTCCAAGTCATACAGCCAGTGTTTGTCCGTAGGCAGTTTCCGTGGTCATGTGGCCTGCGCAACTAGACAAGGAACACCGTTACCTTCCCACCGTGGTGGTACCTATTTATCTACTCACATTTACATGCTTTCGAACTGCTAGGTTGGCAGGAGCTAGGCAAGCTACAGGAGCTCACTCCATCACATGGATTTAATCTTACGACGGCTGGTCTTCTGACCTTGCAGCACAGAAGCTTCTGCGGTTTAACCCGCAGCGCCACCATGTCCAGAGTAGTCCTAAGTAATTCTAAGTCCAGCATCCTTGGAGAGGAGGGGGTTGGATTATTTGTTTGTTTGTTTAATTGTTTTCTGTTCTGACTTTCTCCCAATTACGGGACCCATAGTGACTCACAAATTATACAACATAGCCTCAGCTTGCTCAGTGCTACCTCAACCAGACTTCAGCCATTTTGGCTTGTTAGGACTGTGCCTATTGTTATCTACTCTGGCTGGCAGCAGTTTTCCATCGCTTCAGACAAAGAATATCAAATACTATCAGTGTTTTTTTTTTAAAGACTAGATGTCAAGTATTGAATCTGGGATATTCTGTCCGTAAAGCCTGTGCTCTTGTTTTCCCCTTTTCATTTCCCTCCTGCCATCTGAGTTACTTGAATTCTCAGATCTGGGGGAGGGGGGAGAGTTCTAATGATGAGCAGTGGGGACTTAGGCCATAGGAATACTGGATTTAGCCCCCCCCCCGTCTATAATCACAGTATCATCCTACTCACCTCATTTTCAGATTTTATATTGGGGCAGGAATGTTGAGTTTGGGGAGTAAAAAAAGATAAACAGGAAGTCTAGAATATATTTGGTTTCACCATTCTTATTTTGGGGGCCAACAACAGCAAATTATTGTTTTTCAGATGGCGCTCTGTGGTGCCCTTGGGGGCACAAAAATGACCAGAGGAGGGGCTGCATGTGATCCATAGATCACAAGTTGCCTTATATAAATCTGGCAAAGATGTTTGTTTGTTTGTTTGTTTCTTATTTGATTTATATACTGCCTTATTAGTGTGACACACTATTCTGGGTGATTTACAAAAAAATATATATGTAAAAACATAAATAAATTAATAACAGATTAAAAACTTTTAAACCATTAACAGCCTAAAACCAAAGGGTACTCGCAGCAATTTTTTTTACCATGGAAGGAGAAGAGACATATAGTGAACTAGGATTGGTGTGGAAGGCCTTCCTGAAAAGCCATGTTTTATGTTGCTCCCTGAATGGCAAACAGGGAGGGGGCTAATCATAGCTCCTCCAGGAGCTGGTTCCACAAGGTCGGTGTCATGGTGAAGAAGGTCTTGTAAGTGACTTGCATTCCTCTCTCATGGAAGAGCATAGCCTGGGAGGATCTAGTGGGTCGGGCAGATGACATTCGGGAGAGATGCTCCTGCAAGTCAAAATGCTGACATCTGTACTAGCATCGCCTCTCACTGATATTCTTTGAGGCCAGCAAACCAATGTATTTGTGTTTAAGACATTGCTTCTCATCTCCTAACCTCAGTCTATTCTACAAATTTTGTTTGGTGAAGGGGTTTGGAAGCTATTCTTAGTCTTATTCCTGCATTCCCTCTCCCTCTCTCATTTTCCCCTCCCCCCACACCTCAGGATCATTTTCAAAGATTCATCCCATCTGGACACTATGGAGTTGATTCTCATGGATATTCCCAGACTGGAGGGAGGATGGTGAGCGGTGTAACTGTAGGGCGATATGGATCCGATAAACTGCATTATCCTCCTGCCCCTCCTCCGAAGCCTGGAAGCAAAGGTGGACCTGGAGGGACTGGATCAGGGGGAAGTGGAGCTGGCCACACTGAGGGATCCGCTGGCACAGGGGGAGGCGTGGATAGTGAAGGACATGACACCACCGGTGGAAAAGGCAAGTATCTGCCCACATTTAATGCACCAATTAAAGAGCCAACAAAGGAACAAATCTGTATCTAGACTGTCATCTTCCAAAGACTGTTTAATGTGTTCCAACTGAACAAGAAGCAATCTTAAATTGCAGAATATTTCATAAAAGAAGGATGCCCAGTCAAGAGTTTAAAAGTGTAATTTTAGGGCGACTTGTCTGAGCAAAGGACCACATGCACATACCACAAATGACTTAATTCTTTTGATGGCATCTGAATAATGTCTTCTAAAATTTCTAAAGATTTCCTCAGAAACAATGCTGTCTCTCAGTACCGATTAGTATGTATTCATACAAAGCAGACCATTTAAAAATGGTTATGGTTGAGAGACCCACATTTGCATCACAGATTTTTACATGGAGTAGCAAACTATCAAGTACAGAAGGAACTTCAAAAGCCTTGCCCAAGTTTTTGCATTTGTTTTCATTTCCTTCTTCTCACTTGTCCTAAATTTTCTTCTCTTCCTCCGTATTTTAGGTGATAACAAAGGTGGGAGTGGGAAACACGTCTCCATTTTTAAGACCTACATCTCTCCTTGGGAACGAGCTCTGGGCCTTACACCCCAAGAGAAAAGTCAATTCAGAATTGACCTCTTGTCTTACGGCAACAAAGCAGACCTTCGCGCTTATAAATCTTTCAATAGGTAAGAGAAATTTAAGCTAATTACCTGGGAAATAAGAAATCTGCATATTAGGGAAGAGATTCCATTTCCTTAAATGGGATGAAATGAGCTGAGTATGGGTAGTAGTCACAGCTTGGAAATGTTGTTATGTTGTTGACTACAACTTTCAGAATCCCCAGCCACTGTGGCTACTGGATGGGGGATTCTGGTGTCTGTTGTCTGAAAACTAGTTTTTCCAAAGTTTTGGTATGACCTACAAGAGCCAGTGGCAAAATATTAGACCCTAATACCCTTGTCAGTTCCTCACTGCTGCTGAATCCCTGTTCTCTACTCAGCCTGAAGAAATATAAAGAGGCATTGTGTCCCTGGACTGAACATTGTTTCCTAACCAAGGCACACTGATCAATTCCTGTACCGTTTCCTTCCTTCCAATCACATTTTCATTTTCAACTAAGGGGGCACAACCCACAGATCACAAGCTGCATGTGAGTTGCGGATTGTGCAGAACTGACCTACTTTTAACTGCCATACAAATTATCTGCATGGCTGGCGGTTGCAATTAGCAGCTTTGGTGACTAAGTTGAACCTTAACTACTAAAGCAAGGGAAACTGTTCTGAATTTCCAGGTGGAGATAAGGACTATTTAAGAGCACTTCCACTGTAAAATATGCTGTCCTTTAAACAGGGCATTGAAACTTCTAATAATCTCTTCTTTTAAACACCTTCAGCTATGCTTTGACTGCATAAAAGAAATTATATTAGGGTTTACTCGAGCAGACATTTACAGAATTGTGCTCTGCTTTGCATTCTTTTGAATGCTGAACGGGAAAATGCCCAGATTGATAAGAATTATGGTCAGAATGTATAGGAAGAATGGTGGAAAATTGGAGTCACTGTGGAAATATATATGCCAAAATATGTCAGGGGGAGTGAAGTGAATGTGTATGGCAATAAAACATGGAAAAATCTAGGTTATTTGCACACTAGGCCCTTTGCACTGTGGGGCATTATTTCTCCCAAATGGAAGCAATAGTGTATGAAAGCCATGACTTCACATGGCAGTTAATATAGTATTCAATATCTTGCAGTAGTAGTCCCCATGGTCTACTCTAGACTCTTCCGTACTGTTCACTCAGGAGAAAGTACAGCTTGGGAAATGTGCCCTGACACTTTAATTCAAAGCTTCTTATCCAAAGCTTCAGACTTCAGTTGCTTCTGGTTTAGCACAATGCAGCATTAACAACAAATAGCATGTCAGTGCCATAGAATTAGTCAATTCCTTGTTTTCAGTGAAGGGCCTTTAATTCCTGGTTTTTATTTATTTCCAACACTAAGATGTAATTCAGCCATAATACGTCACAAAGCCCATGCTTAGCTGAACAGGAAGCCATTAGAGGCAAGAGTCACAATAATGATAGTTCTAATTAAAGATGCAGTAGCCTTGAAACACCTGAATAATTCTCTTTTTTTTAATCACAGTGTCTATTGTGTTTGTGGGATAGATAATATTCATTGTAGAGGCTGGTTCAATAGAAACATATCAGGATTCGTAAGTTGTGCAAACACTAGCATATTATAACATTGCTAGGCTGCGTGGGAATATTGAAGCAGATTCTTACATTCAGTCCGAATTAGGGCAAGGCAACGGTGAACTCCTGTAAGAGTGAGTCGTTTAGAAAGCATCAATGATGGAGTTGTCAGGTTATACAGTGGGGTCTTGACTTGAGAACTTAATCCGTATTGGAAGGCGGTTCTCAAGTCAAAAAGTTCTCAGGTCAAATCTGCATTTCCCATAGGAATGCATTGAAAACCATTTGATCCGTATCTGGTCTTTATTCAGTCCAAATTAGGGCAAGGCAACGGTGAACTCCTGTAAGAGTGAGTCGTTTAGAAAGCATCAATGATGGAGTTGTCAGGTTATATGTCACATGCACTTTCCCTTTTGAAAAAGTTTGTATTGGTTAACATTACACTCATACACCATATAAGAATTGTATTATACATTCTAGATAATTAATCATAATTTTTATATATTTTCTGCATATCCTTAAAGAAAAGGATGAAATATATGCACCTAAGCCCTACACATTTCTTACAGAACAATCTATTTATTAACTTATGCTGCTCTCTTTGGGGGTAGGTGTTTTGAACTGTGGTTATCTGAAATTATCTTTTTGGAAGGGGGAATGGAAAGGATGCTTAAACCATCATCTGTCCACAGACAACTCTAAAGCTAGATCTTTCTGTATCCCTTCACACATTTCAGTTTGGGGAGGGGGGGTATAAGTGTAAGGATCTCCTACAATAGCACAGTACAAGGCTTGTTGATTTGTCAAAGTATCATAGGTTTGCCCACTTGATGAACTGATATGATAATTGTCTCAAGTGGTGATGCTATTATTTCCATAAAGCTTGACTGCCACTGCCTCCTTTCCCCTAGGACTGCAATGCCTTATGGGGGATATGAGAAGGCATCCAAGCTGATGACCTTCCAATTGCCTGAATTTGATGCTGGCCCATTGGTTCCTGAACCTGTCATTGTGTACAATCAAGAAATCACCAACAGACCCTCTTTCAACAGGACCCCCGTACCTTGGCAGGGGTCTGGAGAGCCTGCTGAATACAACATAGAAGTGAATGTGCCTCTGGCAGGTGAAACAGAAGAATTATAAAACCTCCTCTTTCCTTTCTGACCTATCTACCCATTTGCAAGTCTGTTACAAGGTGTTACAAGGAGCTAAAAATGCAAGGATTCCACCGTCACCTTTGTCCTTAAAACAGCCAAATTCCCATGGGGTTCTAACATATTTTTGTTGTGGTATTTATCTATACCAGAGGTAAAAGAAAAAACACTGAAATATGAAGGGGGGGAGAGGGACTGGGAGAGAGAGAGAGAGAGAAAGAGAGAGAGAATGGCTTATGTATGTGCCCTCCAAGACAACATCAAAGAGACAGCTGTATGATCATTAAAGATATTATACACTGCCTGCCTGCTCTGCACTGAGTTTGATCTTGTTCTGTCATTTGGCAATGTGAAATAAAGCATCTAGAAAGAAAGAAAGAGGTATTTCTCCTCCGTTTTGTTTTGGTCACAACTTATTACTTTAAAACATTTAACTTCTGCCTTTTGAATAGAACTCAGTTTTCCAAGACAATTGGACCAAATTGTGTAATTGCTTAGGCTGCTTTGGGAAATTCCTGGCAACTGTGATTCAACTGTTGCCATGACTGAAGATTAGCAAAGGTATCAATGGCTCTACCACATATAAGCTAGCACCTAGAATTGGCTCAATTACACACACAGAGACATGTGAGATTCCTTTTGAAAAATGTCCGTATCTTATACAACTGTGTTACTCAGCTCATTTACTTAACAGGGCTTATGTAGTTCCCCTCCAAATACATAAGAACAAAATACAAAATGAACCAATTTACAGCATGGCCATCTTTGAACAAAATAATTTCAAAGACAGATTTTAATGGAAAAAAAGTTGAACATGATCTAATAAAAAAAGGTGAAAGTGATCCCCAGTGACTGAACAGGGACAAAGGCTTTTTATGTTGCTACTTGGATTAATCAGCTCATCTAAGTGGGTGGCTACACTGTCCATTTACTTTGTACTTGACATCGGATTGGGCACTGATGAATTCCAAATTAAAACTTGGTGATCAGAGATGGGATATCTGTATTCTCATATGAATGCAAAAATCCCAGATGTGGGTGGCTTGGATCCCCAGCCACGCCTCCCCAAACCAACTCGGCCACTTATGGGTCACCATACAGCACACACAGCCAGCATCCTGCTCGTCGTGCCAATGTCAGAAGAAGCCCAGTTGGCGCTGCCTCTACCTTCCTGCTCTTCTGGCCACCACAGCCAGGGGGTGGGATGATTGAGTCTCCCCACTCAGCTGCTGAGTAGCCAGACTTCATCTGACATTGGTGTGAAGAGTAGGCTGCCAGTTGTGTATGCTGCACAGTGACCCATAACTGGATGGGTCAGCTTGGGGAGCCAGGACTGGGGATCCTGGCCACCTGGGTCCCGGATATTCATATTCATTTATGAATACGAATATCCCATTCCTATACGGTGACTACATAACGTAAAGCTCAGTGCAGGGAAGCCCTTGGTGAAATGGTCTTTTCTGAGCTGGGAAGTGTATTTTTTGTTCAACCAACAATAGAATTCGTTCCGATTGGTTTTGACGTTGCTTTTGTCCACTTTCTGGCCATGTGACTGTCTGATATGAAGCAAAGAGGTGCTTGTAGGAGAGTCAGTTCCCCTCAACCAAGCACCCCATCTCTCCAAACCACTTATCTTTTAAAAAATGTTTTCATATCAGTGTTAGAACAGAGTTTACACAGATTATGAGCCATTGTTAGATGGTGTATGAAATGAATACAGAATTAAAAGGTAAGTTGATAAAAGATGTCACTACTTGTGGATACACATGAATCTGTCAATGCCCTGATTAGAGAAGTTGGGATAAAATTTTGTCTGCACACTAGGTAAGCCAAGTGTAGCCTACTTAACAATATTAGCTAGTGGTTAGAGGGAGATGCTGTCCTCGATTTGTGGTTGTTGTCCTCAGAACACAGTCCAGGGTGTTCATGTTTGGTTATAGGTGGTGCTCTGGTTGTGTATTCAGAAATACATCTTGAAAATATTTTACCTTCACCGTAGTGAAGTACAGCTTTCTTGAAGAAAGTGCTACAATAGATTAAAAATACCAAAGGTTTTGCAGGAATGGGGTTGGGAGAAAAGCCTGTGAGAAGGCACTCAAGAAAGTTTTTCAGTTTGCTGCCACAAGATAAGAGCAAAGACTTTGTAGCAAAGTCATGAGGTGTTCAGGAAACATGATTTCAGCTAGCTAATTGTCCAGGGGGAGAATTAGTGAGCATATTGTCCAAATACACCAGAGTAACTAGTCTTTTCCTCTCACTTTTCCTCTCCATTGCCATTGTTGAAGTAAGATTTAATTGACAGTACAATTGGCTTTTGTATTTGGAATGTAAGGAGGGGTTTCCTCAGACAGCAACATTTTTTGGAATAGCCCCATTCACTTCATTCACAAAAATCACAGTGGTTGGCAGGGATAGTGGGACATTTAACAATCTGAACTGGTGCAAACAGTACTGAAATGCAGCCTTTTGACTAACAGACAATTGGGCTGGTCTTACACTGCTAGTGGAGGTAAGATAGACCCTGAGAAAAGTTACATTACCTTGGTCTGAGAATGTATCACCCCCAAATGCTGTATTTTGCATAACGACCTTTGATGACTCTGCTTATTGCCCAGTCTGCAGAGCTAGCCTGAACATCAGGTAGCAACAAAGAGATGTTGATGAAAACGGCCGGCCTCTATGCCAACATAATTTGGCTGACACTATGCATTTTAATTTAGGTGGATAGAAGGTAACATTTGTTGCTCTGCCTCTGGCAGTGTAATATTTTGGGTGGGCCATCCCTGCTCATAGATGAGAAATATTGCGCGCCATGAAAATCATTAACTATATGGAAAAGGAGTATAGTAAAGAAAACAAATGTCTTTCTTTTGGTAAATGTATGGATACTCACAGGCTCTGCAAGGATTTTAGCAGAAGAAGCCAGACTGCTCACAGATGCCACACAAATTCAATTACACTGAATATTAACGCAGTGCCAAAGTCGAATTCGACAGTCTCTACTGGATGAGTAATCACTTCCACATTGTATTGTAAACAGAGCATCTTCCAACAATCCTGAGGCAAGTGCAGACATATGACTTTCTCTTCCTAAATGTTTGCCTTATTTATTTTGGATCCTCCAGAGAACCTTAAACTAAAGCATCTCCTTCTCAACACCTACTGATCCTTAAGGGGTTCATGCACACATGTAAAGATGAGAAGCAAATAAAAAGTCAAATCTTTGGAAAGATATGCTAATTCTCTTGCATTTTTCTAATGTGTCTTTTTCCTTCTTTTTAAATGGTTCCTTAGTACTGCTTTTAAAATGTATTCCAAAGATGACCCCAGAGTATTACTGCTTTACTGAAGTTCAGAATAAACCAAAATTATATGAATTAATCTTGGGCTACCCCCTATAGGCTACCATTATGCTCTGTACACTAGTAAGTCACAGAGAGAGAGAGAGAGAGAGAGAGAGAGAGAAGGGGAGGGGAATAACAGAACAGATTGTAACCTATCAAACCACCTGCATAAGTCAGGTGGAAACCACACAAATATCTTCCTAATTCATTCTCTGACTAAGGAAAGCATCTCTAGAGTTTACTTGCAATCATCGTGCTTCTTCCAATGCTAGAATTTAATGAACACTGAAACACTGAATAAAATGTTATTATCCGGAGCAATTCTATATTTGGACATATTGGAGACCTGCTCATATCTCTAGGAATTAAATACATAGAGAATTTACAATTAACTTCCCTTCAATCTAAATCTGTGATCCAGCTGCACATCCCCCCCCCAAACTTACGAATGGAAAAAGTTTGAAAGTGAAATTGTCCCATGATTTTACTCTACTCAGGATTCACCTGAAAACTGGGGAACAAGACAATCCTTGGGAAGTGACACAGTAGTCCTAGGGGCTGGACAGGAATAAAAACTTTCCAAAATTTTGCAAGGGGCAGCATGCAACATTGTCCAAGAACACTTTTCACAACCAACAGTAAGTGCCTTTAATTTTGCAAGGGGACATCTGTGAACATTGTTACTACAAACAAAGGGGGGAAACTTGTTTTTAAACATCAGCTTGAAATAAGATGGGTCTTACAGTATAATTACATGCACAGATAAATTCGGCTGTAATGGACTTACAAGCTGCAGCAGGAGAAATCAAAATGGAGATATGTGAAGAAATTTCCCCAGAATTAATAACATAATAGAATTCAGGCTCAGACAAATACAGTATATGGTCAGTGCTTCATACTTTATCTTGGTTTTAAAGTTGCAATCCATCTTGACATGCTGTTAGGAAGTGAGGAAAGGTCAACCAAAGGCTGCTGTTTAACCCCTTCTGCTCTACTTATTTAACACAGTGGGGTTAAGAGAAACACAGAAATGCCATAAACATAAATAGAACACTACATGAAAAAGATGGAGTATATGAAATTAATATGCAAAGACGAGTCCTTTTCAGACTGCAACTAGGAATGGGCCTTTCATGTCAACACGAAAGAGGCTGCCTTTTGAGTATTTTGTGTTCTTTCAGTGGCTTTTGTGTATAAAGGGGGTATATTAAAGTTTCATGTTTATTTCATGTTCACTTTTTCATGTAATTTTGGCAGCCTTCTATCTATCTAATCTATTAAATTGCCTGAGAAATTTTTCATTCATGTCACAAGGATTGTTATTGGCCAGTCTAGATGGGTGGTATGGGTAGGAATTTTTAATCCATAAAACAGCTGAGGAGTGCTTTTTGCTTCAATAGTTTCTTGGAGGATTATTTTGTGCTCTGCTCCTAAGAGTCCTCCATCTCAGATTGCTGCCTACCTGCTGTGCTTCATCTTGAACCCTTACCCTTTTGCCCCTCTTGATGTGCCACTGGTCTGTGTGAGTGGTGGTTGTTGTCTGGGCACAGATAGAGATAGGCATCCTTCAGTCTCAAGAGACTATGGTAGCGTGCTCTGTATGGAGGACTTGGAACAGCATCTAGTGTGGCTGAGAAGGCCAATTCGAGATTGACAATCCCTTTCTGTGTTGTTTTGACACTGTATGCAAAGCTGGAGTGTCCTCTCCAGAGCACGAAGTCTCGGAAATTAATGTGGAGGATAGGCTGTTACCCAAGCAAGCAGCAAATTCCCCCTCTCCATGTTGCTGAAATAGTCCACCAGAAAGTCAAGAGCCAATGCAACTGGTTCCAGCGACGTCACAGGAGTTGGCAGAACAACACGAACTGCTTCCAGGACTCTGGCTCCGGATTTTGCCTCGAGGTTTACTCCTGAAGCCTTTTCCATTGGTGGATATAGCCACCAGGCAGTGGAGGTTTGAAATCGGAGTTTTCCTTCTCCTAGATGGGCTGCCTTCCAAGGCTGACGAGTCCCATCTACCCTTAACTGGT